AGATAATTTTACAAGAGTTTTGGCTATCTCTGTGGGATCGATAGTGGTTGTAAAAGAAAATCCTTTATTACTTAAAACAATACGTATACTTGTGTAGTACCCTAGTGTGTAAACTAATTTTATCAGCTTTATATACCATTTAAATTTGCACACTAGTCGTTGAACGTAAATTGGGTGAAGCTTTTGACCATATTTCTGAACTTAAATAATTGTGTAATTGCGGGTCGGATCACATGTTCTTTATTTAAGGAATAAAATTTCCAGTAACTAAATACAAGAATGTTAGATGTACCTTGTTTTCTTTTAAATGGGAGGATGTTTAGATGTCTTGACAATAATGAAAATTTTCTATTATAAATTGTTAAGCTTTTGCAGTTGACTTCATATCACAACAAATCAAAATAAATAATTTTATTCAAAAAGAAATAAACTTTCAAAATGAAATCCAAATGAATGAAATTTTCATAACAAGTAAAAACAAATTTCAAACAAACTCCCAAAACTCAAATAAACTTTTCAAGCAAACCTTCAAATACAAATTTTAAACAAAATAAATCAAACTGAATGAATATTGTCATGTTTATCTCTCGGGTTGGATGTGAGTCTCAGTCTTTCCATTTTGATATAATCACCCTATGTACCTCTTTAGTTAGATGTAAGTCCCTGTGTTTTCTATCCCAATGTGTTGAGGTTTAATTGAATGAATATCCTTATGGTTAGCCCTTGAGTTAGATGTGACTCCTTATGCTTTCTATCCATATCTAATCACATTGTAACCTCTTAGCTGGGATGTGAGTTCCTCGTGCTTTCAATCCTAACATGTTAAAGCCAAAGTCCTCAAATAATAAAAAAAAAATTCAATCAATCAAACAAACTCATCCAAAATTAAATCCAAGAGCTGATCCTATTTAGGATATGTATGTCTGTGTGGCCTTCCATTCTAATCTAATCACTTTGTTCACCTCTTAAGATGGAAGTGATTCTTTGTGCTTTCCATACTAATGTGTTCATGTGATTGAAAGTAAATCCCTTTAGTCCTTGGTACACCATGCTTGATTTCACTGTCCTTAAAGTTGGGATCCTTATGACTAGTTTGAAATTGTTCAAACTTTTTCATAGGTCTTGTATCTCTTAGGGATCCATCAGTGTTGGAGTAATTCTATTTGGGCACCATCACGATGTGATCTTGGTTAATAACCTTGATTAAGTAAAGCATGACTTAGAAGGGAAATCTCTTATGCTAGCAAACTTGAGGAAGGATACACCCCCTTCTCTGTATTACTCAACAAAAATCATAATCTCTCCTTTTTTAGGATCCATTGGTGATGTAATAACCTTATTTGGGCACATTACATTGTAATAAGGTTTGGTTGATTGTAATGTAGTGATATGTAATCTTGACTTTCTTTATAGATGTAAAATGCGATGTATGCGATTATGTGCTTATTTTCCTTAATAGTGATTCCTAATTTGCAACAGTGTCAAAAACTTGATCCCAGGCAAAAGCTAAGTGAGTTTTTCACTGTGAAGTAAATTAGAATATGGTTATAATATTTAAATATGAGATACTGCGCAAGTATACATATCTTTATCAAGTAATATAAGATTTTTTGATTAAGCTGCAAATATTGAACTCATAGAGAAATAGGCAATATGCACTTTATAAAGCTAGAAAGTTTAGATAACAAAAATCTACTTAGGAAAATATTCTTATTTAAACTTAAGGTGTTATAATAGGAATGAAAATTTGATTCTTTTTGTAATTTTTGATTTATGAAAATAAAGTAAACAACTAATTAACTTAACTAAATATTTGCAAGATGAAGGTAATATAAGTAAAATATTTTTTTCCTTAGCATGAATCAATAATAAGTATAGAAATTCTGTTGTGGAAGTATGCTAAATGTGTTGTGTCAAATAGAAGCAATAATATTCTTTAACCTTACTAGAGATGTTATAATGAACCTTGGCCAATCTATAGTTTGAATAGTCTTAAAGAATGATTAGGTAGAGAAGATACTAGCTCTCACTCTAGAGTTCCCTCTTCTCCCTCCACCTGGGGGCTAACATCTCATATCAAAACCTAAAACTATAAATCAAATTGAGGGCTTTAGCTTGTCACTCTAAAGTCCTCTAATTCTACACCCTTGAAAAGTTTATTTCCCTATTTATTTACACTCAATCCCATGAACTACATTCTCATACATGAATTCAAAATGTGATTCTAACCATTTGTTAACTGAGACAATACTATCTTGGATCTTACATGTTCTCACAACAGGTATTACATCTCATCTTAATTGGCCAAATCAGTAAATGAAGTGCAAGATTTCAAATCATC